GAGGGGTATTTCATTTGGCGCTTGAATTGAATGACTGTTTGATAGAGAAGTTAACGTTTGATAAGTTTTGTTCGTCTATTGATACCAAACATAAAATATTCACGAATTTGGATCAATTGACCCGAAAATTGGACTACAAATTGGATTATTTTGTCGTATTTTCATCGGTCACGTGTGGTAAAGGAAATGCCGGTCAGACTAACTACTCGTTTGGGAACTCTATGTGTGAACGTATTTGTGAACAAAGACGAAGAGATGGATTGCATGGTCTGGCCATACAGTACGGACCGGTCGGTGATGTGGGAGTGTTTGAAGGCACGGATCAATTGTTGAATTTTTCTGCGTTAAGAAAACAGCGGATCAACTCGTGTTGCGATGTTTTGGACAAATTATTGTCTGTTAAACAAGCGATCGTTACATCATATGTAAGTGTTTTACACCATATTATAATATTATAAAGTTTAAGTATAATACGTTTGAGTGCAATATTTTATACTTTTCTAATTGTGCATCATTTAAATTATTCATATTATAATCTAAATTATATTAAACATCACTTACAGTGATTCATTTCAAGTAATACTCTAATTTATACGTATTTGTCCAATATAACGTTATTTAAATATATTGTTTCAAATTATTGTTAGAATTTTTTTAAACTTCATTCAGATATGCTTTTAATAATATTAAAATATGGACTACGAGTTGTTGAAGAAGTATGTCTAGAAATATACATTTAAAGCTGTAATTTTAGCACTAACACACATTAACAATAGCAAATAGCAAAATTACAGTTTGAAAGTGTTTTCTAGACATTATTCTGCACTGGCCCATCCATATAATATTTGTAGCATGAAATTATTGTTTACTATATTATTAGTTATAATTTCAATGATAGGTAAAAGTAGACCAAACTAAAGGTGAATCAGGTGGCCGACAAAAGAAAATGATCAAGGAACTATGGCGGGCACTGGGCATTGATCCGGACAACACCCCCAACCACCTAACCCTGGGTGAGATCGGCATCGAGTCTATGTTCGCCGTAGAGTTACAGCAGGAACTGGAGAGGGAGTGGAATATGAAAGTCAGTCTCAATAACGTGAAAAGTATTACGATCGGTATGTTGAAGGACTACGAGGCCGGCAGAATTGGCGAAATCAAGAAGCACTTGGATGATATTAGACGCGCCAAGGCAAATTTGCTCAAGATGAAATTCTTGATTCCCACCGAAACGCATACCCGGTTGAATAGTGTGAAAAAAGGGACACCGGTTTACATGATGCCGCCCGTTGAGGTCAACTTCGCGGGCATGGAGGAGCTTGCTCAAAAGATTAACCGACCGGTGATAGGGCTCAACTGGACCCGGGAGGTGAGCCAACTGACCTCGCTCAAAGAGGTTAGCGAGTATTACGTCAAGTTGCTAAAGAGCCTGGAGCCTAAAGGGCCGTACGAGGTGTTGGGGTATTTCGATGGCGCCATCATTTGCTCGAAACTGTTGCGCAAACAAATGGTCAACAAAGCGGTTATCGTTGACGTCATAAACGACGCCCTTTTCCGCGACGATGAGCCCACAGACGAAGATTTGCTGATAATGTTGTTGACGATCCTGTCGAAAGAGATACCGGAGTCGTTTAAGGACAAAATAGTGCGCGAGATCAAAAAGGAGCCCAATTTCCAAAACAAAGTGAAGTTAATTATCAATGAGATCGTGGACGTCGCTGGCAAAGGACTGGTAGCCAATGATATGGAGCCCATATTCCTCATAATGATAGCCCGGATTCGTATGCTATCGGAGTATAGACTCAATAAACGCAAGAAGTTTTCAAATAAAATGAAACTCACGATCGGAAAGAAATGGGCGAAAAAGACGGGGAAATTGGTTTTGATTAAACCGTTTCAATTCACTTCTGTCGAGGATATCGACGCTTTTCTCGATAAGTCGAGGGACACCTATTTCCTGCCCTCAACTGATGTGAGTTTTTTGTTATGTTTTGTTTGCAATTTTAAACTAGTGATGAGTTTATTATTTTGATTCTTAATGAGTGAAATATACTGTACAGTACTGTATGAGTTTTGCCAATTCAAACATTTTATCCAAACTATTATTCAAGTTTGGATTTTCAACTTATAAATAGTCTTAAATTATTCGAGATCTATATACTTTTTATAACCCAAAATTCAACAAGGTTTTTGTATTATAGATTAGGTTAACTCGTAAGTTAGAAACAACTACAAATATTTACTTTTTTTTAAAACTGAATGTATGCATTTTAAAAATTTCAATTGTTTTAAAAACTTCATAAATAATTTACTATTGCAAGTAATGTAAAAGCTATTATATAAATTAATTTTTTAAATTATGACCTAGGACAACAACGAGAATATAATTACGGAGCCAATCGATAATGAGATGCCGTTTGACCTGGCTGCCACGGTCATTGTGGACAAAATTGTTGAGTCGTTTAAATAATACATATTCATAATAAAGGTTATTAAACAAGCAAGCAATTTACATGATAAGTTCGCTTTATCGCACAATATATTTGGCGTTAAAAATAATTAATTAATGTTTTAGTGCTAATTATTGTGTAATAAATCAAAATCATATTTTATAAAGGTGTTAAGTGTTGTATATTACTATTTTTAAACTGATTATATTTTTATATTTGGCATTCTATGTGTTTACCTATTAGATGCTCATAATTAATAAACATAATATTTATGTAATTATAATATTATGTTTATTGTTATTAAATGTATTAAAATTTTGGAAATTATTCTTATCTTATAATAAAATAAAATGTATAATATCAAAAAATACTAATTTGTATTTAATTTAACTATATATATTTATACTAAGGAACATGGTCCATGAAATATGGTAAGCACCCATGTAAATAATTACTGAAAATTTATTAAATATTTGATTATATTTAACAATAGTTTAAAATTTAAATTATTGGGCGGGCATGAGGTTTGTGACAGTCGGCTATAAGCATGGGTCTACACTACGGGTGCGATATGAAAATCTTTTTTAAAGCTCATAATGTTAAAATTTATTTAAATTATCATATATAAATTATATGTCTATCATTTTCCCATATATTCATTTAACATATTAATTTGCACAAATAATTTCATATAATATATAGAAATTAATTTTTTCATTTGACTTACGTTTTAGTCCATTGTTTCTTATACTTCGGGTTTAGTTAATACATGTCTGATGTGTGGGTTCCTCCATATAATATTTGTACAGTTAAATAGATTTTCATTATTTTATTATTTATTATTTTAATTTAAACAGAGATTTTAAAAAGTTTATTTTGAAGCAATTTATAAGATGATAATTTATATTTATTATATTTTGATATATTCTGGGTTTTTATATATTATATATTTCAAATAATGTTTTATAAGCCTATGGTTTTTACATTTTTGTTTTAATAATTTTAATCTAGATTTATAATGATTTTATTAATAATAAATTTATATGAGTAATATAAAACTGATTATAAAATTTATACACAAATAGTTATAAATGTCCATTTTAGTTTATAATGTATTTATAGTCATCACTTAAATGACCACAATTTAATTCACTTTATGACATAATGTTTTACATTAACTTAATGAGCACTTTTATTAACTTTAGGTTAATTAACACTTTTAAACCAAAATACCGCTTTATTTCTTTGGCAAACTTGAAATTAATTTTGGGATTATGGATGAAAACCCATGAACTCAATGGTCGCCTAATACACAGAGCTGTATAAATGAATGTCCAGGGAAGTTTAGATTCTGGCTCTAACCAATCACTTGATTCAGCGATATTTTTAAGTTAAAAATACTGTGATTTGCTATTATTGGTGGTAAGCTTAACAGAGCCCGGGCACTATTCAGTGATAAACAAAACTTTAACAGCTATTTTTTAAGGTATATGCGTCAATAATTTGATTTTCATAATTTAAAAATATATTATGTAAAAATAATGTATAGTTCATAGCAGTAATATTAACAAATATATAATCAGTATTTATGGCGAAAAATTCTCGGAAACGATAATAATTTTAAGATTTTTTATATATTAAGTAAATATTCGACAAAATTCACTGGAAATTAATTTTGTGTTTTGAATATAGATGAATTTAGATACATGTTTGTAGATAATGTTGGCAATGTATTTTTTAATAACAAAGTTCCACAGTAGATAGATTTTAAAAACCTAATTATAGATCTTGTTAGTATGATCAAGCTCGGTAAAGTTAGTAGAATTATTAAATTAATGGTTATAAAAATTCAAATTTTATTAGTTAACTATGATATTAATATTGTTTCATAATAATAGCATTTTATTTGATTAAAAATAATTATAAAAGTACATCATTTTATTAATATAAAATAAACGCCCCTGTTGATAACTCTATGAAAACTATATAATTCTTGAAATGTATAATTCTAAGAAATTTTTTAAAAATATCTTGAAAATACTTGTTGTTGAGAAATGTTGAGAAAATAGTAGAAGAAGTTTTGGAAAACGATATACGTATTGCAACTCTGTTTTAATATAACTGTACAGTTAATTAAATGAATATTAAAGTACCATACAATAGTGTTCAGATAAATGTCCCGTTTTCTCAAGACTTACATACATAACTTAATTGCCTAGAGCCAATTGTTTTCAGGTAAACATCGTTTCAATGAATAATTAATGAGTTCTCTGGAAAAGTCATTATGCTTAAAAATTATTTTTATGTTTATTATTGATCTTAAATTTTTAATTATTTCAGATATCTTAGATGTGGAATATTAAATTAATGTAGATGTGGTGGATGGAACAGGGGGTATTTCTTAATTATTTAATTTGACCGGAAGTTAATTATATTTAATGGATAGCTTTAAAATATCTAATATTTTTAGAATATATTTTTAAAATTTTAATTTTTAAATTATAAAATATTGTTTAAACAATTCCACCAGGCACCAGGGGATGCATTATAAGTTATAATTTATAACCCTTCATATTTATTAATATTACAGTAAATAAATTTAATTAATAATTAGTAATCATGAAGTCAATTTAACATGTTATATACTTTATAGGGCTAAAATATTATTTTTAATAAATCGTGTTAAATGATTTACTAAAATATAAGAATTGAAATCATTTGTCCTTGCCATTTGTCATTTGTACTATAGGTTGTAAGACATTTTTTACAACTTGTTTCATATATTAGTTTAGATTGTAAATTTCATAAAAATAACTCTATACTTCAAATCTATTCATGAACTGACTAGCACAGTGTGTCCAGTACTAGTAAATTACAACACATATTCATGAATGTTTGACGTATGAAGATTTTGTTAATTTATAAACAAGTGCAGAATATTTTTTTAAAGTCTTATTTAAAAAAAGCTATTTGTTTCACAAGTTTTGAAATTTTGAACTTGAACATGGGCTATATAAGTCGGAAATTAGCAGTTATTCTCAACATTTACTGCTTATTTTACAGCATAAGCATATACTACCGTATATTAGACGTTATACTGTATTATATTCTGTAGTAAAGTTTATTACTTTGCTTAATATTTTATAAATTGTATTTCAATTTGCAAAAAATGTCGGCAAAAGATATCGTGATCAGCGGAATGGGCGGTCGGTTCCCACTGTCGGACAACACCGACGAGTTCGCGAAGAATCTGTTCGACGGCACGGATATGGTTACCGGCGATGACAGCCGTTGGCCGTTAGGTATGGCCATCATGTGTCGCCAAATAAGCCATAAAAATACATTTATTTTTATAAATTTCACTAAATAATCTAATTGAAACCTAATTATGTACTCAAACTATTTAAGCAATTTTAAACGTGTTGTGTATTTGTTAATTATATTATAGATTTACTGGACATAAACCCACGGATGGGAAAGATCACTGAAGTCAATAAGTTTGACACGACATTCTTCGGGCTTATGGAGCAAATGGTGGACATGATTGACCCGCAGGCCCGGATGCTCCTGGAGGTTACCCATGAGGCTGTAGCCGATTCAGGTGTGTTCTTGCTTCTTTTAGTAATTATAAATACCTGTTGAGAACATATATATTTTATATAATTGTGTTAATTCTGTGTAATAAGTTTGATTACCTAGGTATCTCATATATCAAATTTATATATTTTATTTTGCATATTCTAAACATTAAATAATAAGTTTAAAAAGTATTTTAAATCTATTTACACCATTTATAGGTGATAATTCATTATAAACTTATATAATGTTAGTGTTAATAGCTGTTTAATGTTTACCTCGTTTGCAAAACTTATAGTTTTAACACTAATTTTATTTAGGTTTTATGTGCTACTCTTTAAATTGTTAAAATTAAATTACAATTTCTTAATACAATTTAATGTATTAAAACAAAATTAAAATTATATTTGCGGTATATCTGGGAATATTTGTTATAACTCCTTTAGTAATCCCTTTTTTATATAAATATATTTACTTTAGGCTACAATCCACAAGAGATCCGCGGCAGTAGGACCGGGGTGTACGTGGCTGTGGCTATATATGCGATGACTGACGGCTACCCAGAGGACGCTCAGCCAGATTTGCGCTCGTATTTGACGTCCGGAACGCTACAGATGTTTAATATGAAGACTTTCTACGCGAGTCGCATATCATTCGTGTTTGACTTCAAAGGGCCGTCGATGATAGTGGACACCGCCTGCTCGGGCAGTGGCACTGCCTTCTGTCTGGCTATGAACGACATGCAACTCGGTATGAAAAATACTTTTCTGACAAACACTATACAAATAACTCAGTTTATAATTAACTACTCAATGAATTTAAATGATTATTCATGATTTAAAATAACTTATTTCAGTTTAAATATAAAAATACGATTAGAAATATGCTGTTATACTGTAACTAGCAGTAGCTAGCTGGTGTAATTCAAATGTTAATTTACAGTAGTTCTCAATTATAAATAATTATCAATTAAATAAATATAAATTTATAAATATGTAAAAAACCAAACCTACTGAACTATGTAACCTAGGTCACATTGACAACGCAATCGTGTGCGGCAC